AATTGTAGATTTTTCAAAAATATTTTTTCAAGATCTACCAAATGGTACAGATTTTTTTACTACACAACTACAATTTTTTCGTGTGAAAAGCCCTTGAAAAATATCTTCATAGAAAAAAATCGTTCTTAGAAAAAATTGTCTTGTTGGTGTCAATGCTACCTAAAAATTACACACCACATTTACAACAAATTGTACCACAAAGTACACTTTTAAATCGTTCAATAAAAATAAAGTTATACATCCTTAACAAACCGTGAGACATCAAGCCAACCAAACCGAAATACCTTCAAATTTGTATTGTTGTTGTTAATAAAATGTTGCAAGTTTAGTATAAACATGAAACGAGTGCATGTTAATGTGTTACATGGCAACAAAACTCTTATTTGTTAAAAGGAAGATTATGGGCCACATTATTTCCAAACTGAACGGACGGGTATGGCACGACAAGGTAAAATACGATACGTCAAGATGTTGTGATCCTTGAAAAAATATTTTTAAAAAATCCACGCCTTGTTGTGGTCTTTGAAAAATTACTTCTAAAAAAATTCACAAAAATCCATGCTTTTTGTTGGTTCTAGAAAAAAATATTTAAAAAAAATTCACCCATCCCATCCCTGCCAAATCAAACAATTAAAAACCAAACAAAAAAGTTTACCAACTGGCTGATACGTTACCTCTTTGCCACTGATTTTATTTGCACATGCCATATTATTGTTATTATTGTTGTTGTTAAACAAACTTTTTAATATAGCTTTTATTACGCTCATTTCATGGCAACATTTTTGTTGCCACCACATCGATACAAAACATACCTAACCCACACCCACACAAAGCCCACATCAGTAGTGGGCTGCAACATGAATTATACGCAAACCCAGCAGCAACAACAACAAACAACATTAACGATCCAAACACTGTGCAGCAAACAAAGAGTGCATAAATAGAATAGCTCCGTTGCTGATATGCAACATGTTCTCCTCCTACCTACCTACCCCAGCTATATCAACTACTTACTTGTTTGCTTACCGCTGTTGTTGTTCACTGAGCGGAAGATGATGGGCAAATAAGATGAATCAACAACAGCAACAACAACAATTGTAGCAGTCGCTACAATAACAATAATATTAACAGCAACAAGAGCACAAAACAAAGTGCACAATAAAACTGCAACGCTTAACAAACAACAGCAGCGGCAGCAGTAACATCAACATCAGTTATACACGAGCGATTCGCGCGTCGAATGAATGTAAAGTGCCACGCAAACAACAAAGCAGTCAGATCCGTAAAGGAAACGGAAATATAAAAAGCTCTGTTGCAAATTGTAGCGGCATGCAGTAAGCGTGTGTTTGTGTGTGTGTCTCTATGTATGTAGATTGTAGCGCCTCGCATGGCAGAATCCGTCAGTAGTCATTGAAAACTATGTAAGGACAAAGAAGGAAGGAAGGAGAAGAAGAAGATAAATAATAGTACGCAATGGAAATGTGTTGCATTTAGCAGGGGCGTAGCAGGAGAGGGGGTTAAGCACATTTTTTAAAAATATTTTTTTTTTTTGGGAACCTACACAAGTCGTGGATTTTTATACCCTACACAACTATGTTGTCAGGGTATAATAGCTTTGTGCAGCCACAAGAGTTTGTAACGCCGCGAAATATTGGTCCTAGACCCACCTTTAAGTATACCGATCGTCATATCTCGACTAGCTGAGTCGATCTAGACATGTGTGTCCGTCCGTCCGTCTGTCCATTATATTTTGTAAACACGATACAGGCTACAGTTATGGATCAATCTTCACGAAATTTTGCATGTAGGATGGGTTCTGGCCAATGAAGACCCCTATTTTTGGTAAAGATCGGTTAATATCTAGGGGATGAAATGGACCAAATACTTAATTTTTATCGGTTTTTCTGGTCGCTCTAGAGGCCGCAATTATGGCGCAAACCCCACGATTTTTTGCATGGAGAAGGGGATAGGGCCAAAGAATAACCATGCCTGTTTTGATAAAGATCGGTCAATATTTAGCGGGTCAAATGGACCCTGACTTTTGTGTGAAAAATTAAAAAATTTGTATTCTATAGCGTATAGATTTACCCCTGAAGGACATAGACCCGAAAAGTTGTTGGTATATTCAAGGGCAGTGGTTGACCTTTAAATTGATACCAATTTTATTGTCTTATGTACTCGGATGTGGGAGTTACACATAAATATTTAAAGGTACTTTCGTATTCATATATTATTTAGTAAGTCATAACCACACTAGAGGGCGGAAATATAGCGCTGATCGCTTTGAAATTTTCCATGAAGATCCAGGTATGATCAAGGACAACGCCTATAACTTTTGATGACGATCAGAGAATAATATTGGGATCAAGAGGAAAGAAAACTTAATATTTTGTGTTTTTTCGAGTCGATCTATAGGTCACAGTTGAAAGCCAAACATCACAATACAACCCACGGCGAAGGAAATCTGAACAAGTAATTAGAAGGGCTGTACTGAATATTAATAATATTTGTTGACCTCTAGTCGGTCAAGAGGGTGCAACTACCTTCACAAGGCTTCGATTTGTATACCCTTCACCACACTGTGGTACAGGGTATTATATCTTTTTGCATATGTTTGTAACAGGCAAAAGGAAACTAGATGGACACACGGTTCCTTTTGAAAATAAGCATAGAATCACTTTTTTAGTCGACTTATGAATGTCCGTCCGTCTGTCCATGTTAAATAGTAAACAAAGTACAGGCCGCATTTTTTATTCGAATTGGATGAAATTTGGCAGAGCTTATTTATTTGGGCCAAGGACGATCCCTATTGAAATTGGGAAAAATCACTTCAGATTTAGATATAGGTCCCATATACATTTTCGTCCGATTTAAGGCCATTGGTGCACTAAAGTCCCTATACATCGTTCGATTTGAACGAAATTTGACATAGAGTACTAAATTAGGTCCAAAATCATGTGTGTCAAGTTTCATGAAAGTCGATTCAGATTTAGATATAGCTCCCATATATACTTTCGTCCGATTTTATGTAAATGAAGCACCAAAGTCCCTATATATCTTTCGATTTGCACGAAATTTGGCATAGCGTACTGAATTGAGTTTAGAGTGATGTGTGTTAAGTTTCGGAAAAATTGGTTCAGATTTAGATATAGCTCCCATATATACTTTCGTCCGATTTTAGGCAAATAAAGCACTACAGTCCCTATATATCCTTCGAGTTGTACGAAATTTGGCATAGCGTACTGAATTGAGTTTAGAACGATGTGTCTTAAGTTTCGGAAAATCGGTTCAGATTTAGATATAGCTCCCACATATATTTTCGTCCGATTTTATGTAAATGGTGCACTAAAGTCCCTATACATCTTTCGATTTGAACGAAATTTTGAATAGTGCACTGAATTGAGTCTAGAATGATGTGTGTTAAGTTTCCTGAAAACCGGTTCAAATTTCGATATAGCTCCCATATACATTTTCGTCCGATTTAATGTAAATGGAGCACCAAAATCCCTATGGTGCCTTCGATTTGCACGAAATTTGGCATAGCGTACTAAATTGAGTCTAGAATGATGGGTGATAAGTTTCGGGAACATCGGTTCAGATTTCTATATAGCTCCCAGATATACATATATATTCGTCCGATTTTACATAAATGGTGCACCAAACTCCTACCGATTAACATGAAATTTTGCAAAGCGTATCACATTGAGATACGCAAATTGGCTGCAGATGCAGCCATAGCTACCATATGTATTTCGAACGGGTGTCTGATTGAGATTAAATTTTTAACAGTGCGGCGTACCGAATAGTGCGTATGAAATTAAATTGTGCATAGTTTGCAGAAAGGCATGAGAATGTTCCTTCGCGGGAACATTGACTTGCAATTGTAAAGATACATAGTACAATATACCCAAGGGTATCGTATAGTCGGTCCAGTTGGTTTGTTTGTAAAGCCTAATACAAGGCGTGGATTTTCAAGATCACCGCCCCAGTTCTCTCGTTTTCCACTGCCTCTGAAAAGTTAGCACAGTACACTTGTACGCTTTTATTTAAATAATGAACAGTCGTCATTCACTCGTTTGTTCGCTTGCTCGCTCGCTCGCTGGCAAATACACTCACACACACACGCATACATAAACACATTTTTACTACCACTTGTACAGCATTGATCTGCTGAAAGAGCCATAAATTGTTTGCAGTTGTTGTTTACATTGGGGTTTTTTCGCACTACGCTTCACCAATACTACCACACGGCCAGGATATAATATCTTAACATTTACTGACTTGTGGAAGAGTCGGTGCAGTACTTGGTGGCAGCTTGTGGAATGCGCCCCAAAAAGGAAGTTGTAAAAACGACATCGTTAATGTAAATGAATAAAAAGGAATACTTAAATGAAATGAAGACAAGCTCAAAGTGTGACAGTGTGTGTGTGAGTGAATTGTGAATACCCTACATCGAGTAAAACTTTGGGTGGACCAAAGGCCAGAGGATTTTCTCTGACAGAAGGACTATTTTCGATACGATAGATCCTTGAACGGATTATTAGATATGACATACACAATTTCTTATTGGATCTTTAATATGTATATGTATAGAGTAACTGAGGACCTACCGCACCTACTCCTGCCTTTACCTTCCTAGAGTGTACTGCAACTGTTGCAAACGATTTTGTAATTTGCAACATTTCTATACAATTTCTCACAGCTTTTATTTGTATAAATTTCCATTTACAGTTGTTTTTATTTTCCGTAACACCTGCCTTTCCCACCTCCCCGGACTCCTTACACTTTTCATCAAACTCTTTGAATTTTTACTACTTAACTTGATAAGTTGCGGGTTGTATTTCATTTCATGGCGAATTTTTTGACTCCCAATTTTCTTTACACAACAAAGCGAGAACGAAGTTCGCCATTTATTATTGGAAAACATTTCCAATTTTTCCTTCTCTGTTAATTATTTGCCTTTCATTCATGTTTTCCGTTTTTGTTCTTGTCTCTTTGCAGAACGTAAATTGTTCGTCGGCATGCTGAACAAAAAATACAATGAAGCCGATGTAAGGCAATTGTTTACGGGACACGGCACCATTGAGGAATGCACAGTGCTCAGGGATCAAAATGGCCAAAGTAAAGGATGTGCCTTTGTAACATTCGATACCAAACAGCATGCAATTGGTGCAATTAAAGTAAGTACGGCAACATAATTCAAAATGCGATTATTTGTTTAAAAGTTGGGAGGGATTTTTCTTACTCTCGAGAAATAAAATTGACAAACCATTATGGTCTTCTAAATGATAGAAGACCCTTTGGTCTTCTACACGATAGAAGACCCTTTTGTCTTCTATACGATAGAAGACCCTTTGGTCTTCTATACGATAGAAGACCCTTTGGTCTTCTATACGATAGAAGACCCTTTGGTCTTCTATACGATAGAAGACCCTTTGGTCTTCTATACGATAGAAGACCCTTTGGTCTTCTATACGATAGAAGACCCTTTGGTCTTCTATAAGATAGAAGACCCTTTGGTCTTCTATACGATAGAATACCCTTTGGTCTTCTATACGATAGAAGACCCTTTGGTCTTCTATACGATAGAAGACCCTTTGGTCTTCTATAAGATAGAAGACCCTTTGGTCTTCTATACGATAGAATACCCTTTGGTCTTCTATACGATAAAAGACCCTTTGGTCTTCTATACGATAGAAGACCCTTTGGTCTTCTATACGATAGAAGACTCTTTGGTCTTCTATACGTCAGAAGACCCTTTGGTCTTCTATACGTCAGAAGACCCTTTGGTCTTCTATACGATAGAAGACCCTTTGGTCTTCTATACGATAGAAGACCCTTTGGTCTTCTATACGATAGAAGACCCTTTGGTCTTCTGTACGATAGAAGACCCTTTGATCTTCTATACGATAGAATACCCTTTGGTCTTCTATACGATAGAAGACCCTTTGATCTTCTATACGATAGAAGAACCGTTGGTCTTCTATACGATAGAAGAACCTTTTGCTTCTATACGATAGAAGACCTTTTGCTTCTATACGATAGAAGACCCTTTGGTCTTCTATACGATTGAAGACCCTTTGGTCTTCTATACGATAGAAGACCCTTCGGTCTTCTATACGATAGAAGACCCTTTGGTCTTCTATACGATAGAAGACCCTTTGGTCTTCTATACGATAGAAGACCCTTTGGTCTTCTATACGATAGAAGACCCTTTGGTCTTCTATACGATAGAAGACCCTTTGGTCTTCTATACGATAGAAGACCCTTTGGTCTTCTATACGATAGAAGACCCTTTGGTCTTCTATACGATAGAAGACCCTTTGGTCTTCTATATGATAGAAGACCTTTTGGTCTTCTATATGATAGAAGACCTTTTGGTCTTGTATGCGATAGAAGACCCTTTGGTCTTGTATGCGATAGAAGACCCTTTGGTCTTGTATGCGATAGAAGACCTTTTGGTCTTGTATGCGATAGAGGACCCTTTGGTCTTGTATGCGATAGAAGACCCTTTGGTCTTGTATGCGATAGAAGACCCTTTGGTCTTGTTTACTATAGAAGACCATTTGGTCTTCTATACGATTGAAGACCCTTTGGTCTTCTATACGATAGAAGATCTTTGGCTTTTCTTTACTATAGAAGACCCATTGGTCTTCTACAGAATAGAAGACCCTTAAGTCTTTCATGGAATGGAAGACCCTATGTTTTGGCTTGCTGGTCTCTATAAGAAAACATACTTCTCTAAAAGCCCAACTTTAATATTCTTTTAGAAGAATTTCTTATCGTCTATAAGTAGACCTTCGGCTCTCCTATAAGAGGACGTTCAGGTTTCATATTAGAACACCTTGTGGTCTTCTGCCAAACCAGAAGGCCAACAGCAGACATTCTAGACTTCTAAAGAAGATCTCCTAGTAATCTTTCATAAAAATACCTCATATTTTCTTCGATAAGAATACCTCCAGGACTTCTACATGAAGTCCTCCTGGTATTCTTCCCTAAGATTACTTTCTGAGCTTTTCTATGAAATCTTTTTGGTACTTTTTTCGTAGAACCTCTTCTGAACTTCTATAATGCGGTCTTCTTGTCTTCTATACGAAGACATATTGATGTTCTATACGAAGAAATGCTGGTCTTCTATGTGAAGAGCTTTTGGTCTTCTACGAGGAGACTTTCTAGTCTTCTATGAGAAGACCTTCTAGTCTTCTATGAGAAGACCTTCTAGTCTTCTATGAGAAGACCTTCTAGTCTTCTATGAAAAGACCTTCTAGTCTTCTATGAGAAGACCTTCTAGTCTTTTATGAGAAGACCTTCTAGTCTTCTATGAGAAGACCTTCTAGTCTTCTATGAGAAGACCTTCTAGTCTTCTATGAGAAGACCTTCTGGTCTTTGATAAGAATACTATCTCGTCCTGTATGGAAAGGCCAACTGTTCATCTTCTTAGGCGTAGCTTAACTAGATTTAATATGAACAAATCTTCAATTCAGCCTGGCTGAATGAGGTTTAATATATAAAATATTGAATTCAGCCCAGTTTTCAATAGAAAATCTTCAATTCAGTTTGGCTGAATAAGACTTTCCATAGGAAATCTTCATTTCAGCCTAGCTGAATAAGGTTTTCTATAGAAAATCTTCAATTCAGCCTAGCTGAATAAGGTTTTCTATAGAAAATCTTCAATTCAGCCTAGCTGAATAAGGTTTTCTATAGAAAATCTTCAATTCAGCCTAGCTAAATAAGGTTTTCTATAGAAAATCTTCAATTCAGCCTAGCTGAATAAGGTTTTCTATAGAAAATCTTCAATTCAGCCTAGCTGAATAAGGTTTTCTATGCAAAATCTTCAATTCAGCCTAGCTGAATAAGGTTTTCTATAGAAAATCTTCAATTCAGCCTGGCTGAATAAGGTTTTCTATAGAAAATCTTCAATTCAGCCTAGCTGAATAAGGTTTTCTATAAAAAATATTCAATTCAGCCCAGGCTGAAAAAAAGAGTTTTCATGGAAAATCTTCAATTCAGTCCCGCTGAATAGCATCTTTCCATCCCAATCCATCTTCTTGTTAAGTTCGTCAGCAAATTGCTCACGTCATTTTCTTTGGAAGGCGTTTCTTCTTGCCTCTTTTTGTGTGTGATTTTTCGTTTCGTTTCTCTTTTTTGGAAACGTGATTTTCACATTTGCATCCATCATGGGCAATTACCACATGCCACACAGCTGTCATACATACATATGGATGGATACGTAATGTATTATATCTTTGCCAATTCGAATGAGGCAATAATGGACAAACAAACAAATTTGTTGTTTATGGGAGAAAATATAAAATGTTGGGCAACATGAGGGTGTACACCAGAGGTGCCAGCAAATACTTAGCCCCCTCTCCCCTACGAATGCCAATTTTCATACGAATTAAAATGTTTATAATTTTTCATTGCAAATCCTCCCTTTGTCACGTATTTTTCCATGTGACCCACAAATATTCTTAATTCCTCCCTAATATATCTGCAATATGTGGCATGACCATGCATGGCATTGGGGCCACCACATTCATTCAATGGCTAGTGGTAGTTACTCATATTTTTGCATCTGCATAAATATGTGGAAACATGTTCTCTGACTTCTTGTATTGTTGCTGCTGCTCTGGTTCTGGTTCCTGTTAATACGACAAATTCGTTGCATGGCTTTGTTGCAGGATATTTGCTAAATTTATAGCCTATTCTTCTTTCTTAGCACAATTTTGTAGCCATTTGTTTTATGGCCACAATGTTAACGAGTTTATGTTGGGCCGCTCTTTTTGCCTTGAGTCATATATATTTTTTATATTTTTGGGGGGTACATGTAGTTAAGTGGGGAGCGGGAAATCCGAAATAATTCTAAAAAACTTAAATATGTGACATTTTTATTGGCCTACCAAAAACGTTATAAAATACGTGATTATATTAGCATATGTACCCAAATATATTTATGTATGTATATATATATATATATAATAACCCAGCAACATATATATGTTTTCATAAAAAATATATTTTTAACATTGTATTGAAGAAATTATTAATTTACCATGGGAATAGCAAGTGAATAAATTTAACGCCTGAAAGTATGCTTTCAATTTGTGTATTATAAACAGAACTCAATATACGGTTGTGTGAACGCAATAATCACAATATAACAATTGATAATTTTTTAGCGAGAAATTTATTATGTGGGGAGGAAATATTTTTTTTTTTAAATTTATCCTAATTCACCTGGGCTGAATTGAAGATTTTCCATAGAAACTCTTATTCTGCCAGGCTGAATTGAAGATTTTCTAAAGAAACTCTTATTCAGCCAGGCTGAATTGAAGATTTTCTATAGAAACTTTTATTCAGCCAGGCTGAATTGAAGATTTTCTATAGAAACTCTTATTCAGCCAGGCTGAATTGAAGATTTTCTATAGAAACTCTTATTCAGCCAGGCTGAATTGAAGATTTTCTCATTCAGCCAGGCTGAATTGAAAATTTTCTAAAAAAAACTCTTATTCAGCCAGGCTGAGTTAAAGATTTTCTACAGAAACTCTTATTCAGCCAGGCTGAATTGAAGATTTCTAACGTAACTTTTATTCAGCAAGGCAGAATTGAAGATTTTTTGAAGAACCTCTGAAAGTGAATTGAAGATTTTCTAAATAAACTTTTAATTCAGCCTGGAATATTTTCTATAGATATTCTTATTCAGCCAGGCTGAATTGAAGATTTAAATAAGATATATGTATTCAGCCAGGCTAAATAAAAGATTTTATAAAGAAACTCTAATTCAGCCAGGCTGAATTGAAGATTTTCTAAAGAAACTCTTATTCAGCCAGGCTGAATTGAAGATTTTCTATAGAAACTGTTATTCAGCCAGCCTGAATTAAAGATTTTCTATAGAAACTGTTATTCAGCCAGCCTGAATTAAAGATTTTCTATAGAAACTCTTATTCAGCCATGCTGAATTGAAATTTTTTTATAGAAACTGTTAATCATCCATGCTGAATTGCAGATTTCCTATGGGAAGCTTTATTCAGTTATGCTGAATTGTAGATTTCTTGTGGGAAACCTTATTCAGCCATGCTTAATTGCAGATTTCCTATGGGAAACCTCATTCAGCTGGTTTAAATTATGAATTTCCTATGAAATACCTAATTCAGCTGCGGCTGAATTAAAATTTATTACTTCCTGTCGCTTACTTCTTCTTAAATTCTGATTAATAACAACTATTTATAGCTGGACTACAAATGTCACATTAAGCTCTATGACACTTATGCAATATTAAAGAGCATTTTCCTCTAAACGGATTGTTGTTGTGTTTGTGTTTCCGAAATAGCAACAACAACAATTACCATTAGCAGCTCCATTGCAGCTATTGGGGGAGAATTTAGCCAACATGGGATCTTTGCCTAAGAATCCTTACAGACACACACATATACATTGTCATTCCTCTATGTCCTCTCAATAGTTTTATGTTGATGTATGTGTGTTTGTGTATCCGTAAATGCATTGTGGTTAGAGCGGAAATAGTCAACCACAAAATGGTTGTGTAAGATTGCACAGGAAACATGGAAAATTACAAATTTCCGGTAAAACAAAAACAACAAATTGTGTTACACTACAGCTACAGAGCTCTGCTTTCGTTTGGGGTCGGTAATATATCACAAGGGGGTGGTAAGATGGATGCTAACTTTGCCAAGAAATGGTGTCATAGGGGATTCCAAGTGGATGTAAATGGACTTTCAATTCGGAGAAAATTAAGAGGTGTTATTTAGAGAAGTTTTTATATAAGAACTTCAATGTATCCCACCTGACTTAGAGTTTCCATAGAAAATCTGCAATTTTGCCTAGCTGATTTAGAGTTTCTATAGAAAATCTTCAATTCAGCATAGCTGAATATGTGTTTCTTTAGATAATATTCAATTCAGCCTGGCTGAATAAGAGTTTTTATAGAAAATCTTCAATTCAGCTAGGCTCAAAAAGAGTTTCTTTAGAAAAAACTTTAATTCAGCTTGGCTGAATATGAGTTTGTAAAGAAAATCTTCAGATCACCCAGGCTGAATAAGAGTTTCTATAGAAAATCTTCAATTCAGCCTGTCTGAATAAGGTTTTTCATAGAAAATCTTCAATTCATCCTAGCTGAATAAGGTTTTTCCTAGAAAATATTCAATTCAGCACAGCTGAATAAGGTTTTTCATAGAAAATATTCAATTCAGCTCAGCTGAATTACAGTTTCTATAGCAAATCAATCAATTCAGCCCTGCTAACTGCGATTTAAAACAAAAAATTTTAATTCAGCTCAGCTGAAATTGAATATAAATACAAAATCTCCACAAATATCTGAATTTTCTTTAAATTTGATATCAACATGCCTTTCTTGACCCTCATATTTCAGTAAAGTATAGTCATATCACATTAAATATAAATAAATAAATCTCCATATGGAGATAACTTTCACACACACATAAATGTTATGTATTAATACAAAAATTCTATATATTTACTTTACTTCTAGGCTTTACATCATAGCCAAACCATGGAAGGCTGTTCGGCACCGTTGGTGGTAAAATTTGCCGATACCCAAAAGGAAAAGGACCAAAAGAAGCTGCAACAACTGCAGGTGGGCCTGTGCGGCATTACAGCCTTAACCACACCGACCGCAGCACCTCGTACGGTACTGGGTGCTTTGACAGCTGCCGCACCGGCAACACCTGCCTTAAGTTCAACCACACAATTGGTATCGGCCACACCAGTCGCCGCCGCTGCTGTCTCTGTGGCAACAGCACCACGTCCCATTGCCTCGTTGGCAACAATATCGGCCGCACCAGCTTCGCTACCCGTTTCAGCAGCCGGTGGAGCATCGGCTGGCCTCATACCCACTTCAACGGCTAGTATGTTTGTACCAACACCGACAAGTGCCACCCAACCGGTTTCCCCGTATCTAACCACAGCCGATGGAATGTTACCAAATTCAGCAGCCGCTGCCCAAATGCAAATATTCCAACAATTACAGGCGTATGGATTGCAACCGGCCCATTATTTACAAGGTAAGTTTGTGAGGCTGTACGTGTGTGTGTGTGCATAAGAAATTATGCGTGCATACTCATACATACTTATGTATGTATTTGTTAGGATATTTGTTTATTTTTTTAGTATGAAATTTGTCTAGAAAATTCCTTTTCGTAACCATTTTTTTTCTTCTTAAGCATTGTGTTTCCACCCTTCGTATATTTTTTGTTGTTGTTTAATTTTTTTTTGTATTTCTTAGTTTTGTTGTTTTTTTTTAAGAAATTCATTAGATTTTTCGTTTTTTTCTAAATGTATTTTTTTATTTATCATTGTTTCCAATATTTCCTTCCTCATTTCCAATAGAGGGCGTTGTAATACTTTATGGTGTTGATCTCCTTGAAATCCACGCCTTGATAGTCCTTGAAAAATATTTTTAAGAAATCCACGCCTTGATAGTCCTTGAAAAATATTTTTAAGAAATCCACGCCTTGATAGTCCTTGAAAAATATTTTTAAGAAATCCACGCCTTGATAGTCCTTGAAAAATATTTTTAAGAAATCCACGCCTTGATAGTCCTTGAAAAATATTTTTAAGGAATCCACGCCTTGATAGTCCTTGAAAAATATTTTTAAGAAATCCAAGCCTTGAAAAATATTTTTAAGAAATCCACGCCTTGATAGTCCTTGAAAAATATTTCTAAGAAATCCACGCCTTGATAGTCCTTGAAAAATATTTTTAAGAAATCCACGCCTTGAAAAATATTTTTAAGAAATCCAGGCCTTGATAGTCCTTGAAAAATATTTTTAAGAAATCCACGCCTTGAAAAATATTTTTAAGAAATCCAGGCCTTGATAGTCCTTGAAAAATATTTTTAAGAAATCCCCGCCTTGATAGTCCTTGAAAAATATTTTAAAAAAATCCACGCCTTTGGCAGTCATTGAAAAGTTATTCTTTAAAAAATTCACATCTTTAACAGCCCTTGAAAATATTTTCAAAATCCCGACGACTTTAATTGTCCTTTAAAAAATTTAAAAAAAATCCACGCCTTTGGTAGTCCTTGAAAAACTATTATTTAAATATTTTAAAATATCTTTTAAAAAATCCACGCCTGATCCCTTGATCCTTGAAAAAATATTCCCGCCTGTCCGTAGTGTTGGCGGTTTATTTGGGATACCATTTGTATTTTGTTTTTTCAAAACAAATAAAAATCCCGCCTTTAATAATCCTCGAATAAATATTCAATTAAAAATCCAAGCCTGTGATATTCCTTAAAAAAATATATTTAATAAATCCTTGGAAACTCTTTTAAAAATGGACGCTGGTGAGAGCCTTCGAAAAATAATTTTTTTAAAAAATCCCCATAACTGAATGTCTATGAAAATTTTGTCTTAAAAATTCCATATAGTCCTTCAAAAAAATGTTAAAAAAAATTCACGCCTATAAAACTGAATTATCATAATAAAATCTTTTGAAAAGGTTATACATAGACCTTCAAAAATTATTTTTAAAAAAATTCAGGTCTATAGTTTCATAAATAATTTTTAAAAAAAAATTTTTGAAAGATTCTTAACAATCACTTAACTTGGACCCTTATCAATTTCTTTAAAAAAATCCTCCTTATCCTCTTCCTTCAGAAATATTTACAAAAAGATGCAGATTCTTGCCTATAGTTTTGAGAGTCCATAAAAAATCTTCAAAAGTCCTCCTATTATTTTTTCAACAAAAAAAACTGTAGTCTTATTAAAAATTCCCTATATTTCTTCATAAAATTATTTTTTAAAAGTCCACCCCATACCTCCGATAGTCATCCAATACGTGTTCGTAAAAAAATCCCCATAGTCTTTCAAAACATTATTCTCAAAAATTCGGCCTAAATATTACAACGCCATTTTGTTCTACAATATTATAATTTTCTCCCTCTCTCTCCACCATTGTTTCGTTAAGTATTTTTTTTCTCCTTGAAAATTTTCATTATTTCTCAAACATGTATGTTTTATTGCATTCAACAATTCCTTTATGGTATGCAAAATGTTTATTTTGTTAAATAAAATTTTGTTGTTGTTCATTTTTTTGCAATTGCATTTGTGTCTTTAAAAAAAAAACTTGCAGAATGTTGTAACTTTTTTAGATATTGTTTTGTTATGTGGAAAATAATGTAGAATATTTAATTGTATATATTATATAAAGCAAGTGATTGGTAAAGAAACAAATATTACAAGAATTGAAAACTTATTAAAAACAAATAAAAAAATTAAATAAAATATAAGCATTAATAATTTTTTTTACAAATTTTATAACTTAAAAAAATAGTAATAAAAAACTATATCGCTCCCGAGAGGGCTCGAACCACCAACCTTTCGGTTAACATAAGAAAAAACTAAAAAAATATTAAAAAAAATCAAAAAAACAAATATAAAACCCCATTTATTTTTAATATAAGTATTAACAACATTTTACAAAAATATTATAACTCAAAAAATATTAACAAAAAGTTATATCGCCCCCGGGTGGGCTCGAACCACCAACCTTTCGGTTAACAGCCGAACGCGCTAGCCAATTGCGCCACGGAGGCAATTTGCCCACTGTGCACAAATAATGGCACATGTACGTTCAAGTTAATCCACTTGCAAAGAGTGTTTCTTTAGTAAAAATAGTTAAGTTTTTTTTTTCGAAAATATATTTTTTTCGAATTCGATTAATGCTAAATTATGATATTGACGAACTAATATTAGTTTATCAATAAGATTTCAATATTTATAGCAAACGCCAACATACAAATTTCACTATTAAATAAATAATAAAGTTAGATGTCAATAAATATACCTCGATTTTGTTGATTTCGTTTTATAGACCCTAAAAAGCAAAGTTTTCTTGATTGGGATTTGCTCCCTGGAAGTCATCATTCACTCCACTTAACAACCAGCCTTCTATAATTTTGTAAAAAAAATTATATTACTAAAGAAAAAAATATATAAACCAGTGAGCGGAGCAGTATAGTCGGACTGGGCCGACCATACGATACTCTACACAACTACCACGGAACTCTAACTTTCTGCGGATATTTATTCCGAGCCTGAGCAACATTTCATGATATTTGCACCCTCTTGTCCGATTATAATAGGTCAACAGCACCACTTCCTTACACTGACATATATTCCGAGTATTACTAATATTCAGTGTATCCCTTCTAATTACTGGTCCATATTCCCTTCACAGTGAGTTGTGCTGTGATGTTCGGTTTATAATTGTGGCCTATAAATCGACTCGAACAAAAAAAAAAACAACAAAAAAAATCGGTCCACTTCACACCTGAGTAACTCCCACATCAGAGTACATACGACCATATAATTGGTATCAATTTAAAGGTCAACCACTCCTCTTGGAACTATAAACTTCTCGGGCCTATGTCCATCAGGGATAAATATATACGCCATAGAATACAAAAGTCAGCGCCCATTTGACCAGCTAAATATTGGTCAATCTTTACCAAAACAGGCATGCTTATTCTTTAGCTCGATCCTGGTCTTCATGTAAACGTTCGTTCGAGCCATAATTGCAGCCTCTGGAGCGACCTGAAAAACGGATAAAAATTAAATATTTGGTCCATTTTATCCCCTAAATATTAACCGATCATTACCGATAACAATAGGGGTCTTCAAAGGCCAGAACCCTTCCTACATGCAAAATTTCATGAAGATTGGTCCATAACTGTGGCCTGTATCGTGTTTACAAATTATATTGGACAGATGGAAGGGCACACATGTGTAGATCGACTAGGTGGGTAGTAGGACCAGTATTTCGCGGCGTTACAAACTCTTTGGGCTGCACAAAGCTATAATACCCCGACAACATAGTTGTGTAGATTATACAAAAATAGATTATGTATATAAATAATATTTATTATTCTTTAAATGCAAATTCTCTTCACTTAAAAACATTGTAAATTTTTTTTTTAAATTTTCTTGAACAAATTCGTAAATTTTAAATTATCCATTAAAAGTTGTGAATTTTAAATTTTTAAGCCGTGATTATTCTAGAATACTTTTCTTAAATTTTCTCGATCGATCTTCAATATACAAAAAGTTTGCCGCCCCCGGGTGGGCTCGAACCACCAACCTTTCGGTTAACAGCCGAACGCGCTAGCCAATTGCGCCACGGAGGCCATGAAACCAGCTGCCATACAATACTTTATACAAAACAGTTCTTTATAAAAATCGTTATATTTATTGGGATGGATTGAAACAATATTAAAAAAAATATTTATATAGATTTTAAACTTATATGAAGCCAACTGAAATGAATTATTAGATTAGTTTGGTAGCTGCAGAAATACATAATTGAAATGATTATTTTAATATAAAATATGACATAATTAATAAAGGTTACGTTTTTTAGCTATAGAAAATGTAGTATGTTCTAGATGTGTACAAATTTTCATGTCATTTCCAGTCGACAAGCTAAATTAATCTGAAAACGGATTTTCAAGTAGTACAAGGGAACAAAATTATTATTTTTTACGTATAAGTTAAATTATTTATATGACCCCCTTGTTCTATGGTAATTAATCGAACTTTATTGAAAATTAAAAATCTTCAGGAAAAAAAATATACCGCCCCCGGGTGGGCTCGAACCACCAACCTTTCGGTTAACAGCCGAACGCGCTAGCCAATTGCGCCACGGAGGCAATGTAACCACTGTGCGTCTACATCTTGATTTAAATAAAAAATTTAAAATGATATGTCCTGTGAGGATAATAATGTTGAACATGTTTATAATAATGCCCAGATCTAGTTTAATCAGTTTTGAGATCTTTTGGTATAAGATATTGTTAACTATAACATCCACTGTCAATATACAGTCAACGCTCGGTATAACGTATATTCAGTTTAATTCGGGACTATTGACTGACTACCGCATATCGAGCCATATTCGCCAAAAAAACGTAAACCTGGAATTTTAAATTTTACAGTTTCTTTAATAAAGCTATTATTTTGAAATTTAGAACTATACTTTAAAACAAAAATAGTTTATAACAAAA